ACTTTATTGATCCCCAGAGGAGTAATTCACAGTTATATTCCTCATATACATATAAAGAGAAAAGGGGAATGCGTTTTTTTCTCTGAAGCTCTCATTAAATATTTCACCTTGTTTAGCTGTTGTAACCCTATACTGACAAACTTAACTGTTGGAAAAATGTCTGGAAACATGATAAATCAGGAAAACATGCAGTGACCCTTTTCTTTTGACTCTTTATTCCTGTTTTCTGAAGATTGAAGAAGAGGAGGGTGGCGATTCATTCGACATGCACATATCAGTGTCTGACCCTGAGAAAGTTGGTGAGTACACATTTTATATCACTGTAGTCCTGGAATATGGAGCAATGACAGGTATATTTCAGCAACATGAGTAAAGGGGCTTTCCAGTTTTATGATTTACCAGAGAGTCAGTGCATGTGTTTCTAAGAACTACTGCGTTTCCCATCAGCCCCCCTTTTCTTTTCACTCTTCCTCTCTTTTCCCCGATGATAATAAACATGCTGGAAGTGATATTTTACATCAGCTTTGACAGATAAAAGCTGATGTAAGCAGAAACAATGATAGTGATGAAGTAAAATGCAGAGCTGACATTGACGGAGGCCAACCGTCTGCTCAATCATGCTGTTAGTCATCATACTTTATTCTTGTGCTAATGGTTTATTGATGCAACAACACTGAAGCTCTGAAGGAAGTGGTAGTGCCCCCTGGAGGCTCCAATGTGTTATTACATGCCACAATTCAGAAGTATTGGACTGAACAACCAACACTCTGATTTAGTGATTTGGAGCTCAAAGTGTGAAGTCTGTTTTGAGAGTTCTTAAAGAGGTACTCCACCCTAAAACATGTTTTTTCAGCTGTAAACTAAATGATATGACTGTACTATGATGAAACACATCAGTGCTGGTGTTAAAATTGACATTCTTATCAAATGTCGTGGGTTGAAAATGGCTCACAACAGCCAGTGCTGACATACAGTCGACCATTTGGGACTAATTTACGGCATGACATTTATATATAAAAAAGAGTGTTAACACCCTCTTATCAGAGGAGGGGGTCCACCTTCCCCAGCGTCCGCTTTAAGTGTCCTCTTAAGTGTTTAAGAGTCTGTGAAACCACTGCGATCATTTTTAAATGTATATTGATTGAGACGAATCATTCACATTTTCTTTAATTTGCTGGGAGGGAGGGAACGGGCAGAATTGAAGGCTGTAGTTACTGTACACCTTAAACATTAATATGTGAGCTGACTGTGCAGGACATTCATTTGTGTGTAAATATGAACCAGGTCACAGAGAGACAGCCAACAAAACTGTTGAAACACTCAGCGATTTGATCCAAGAAAGCACATGTAACCAGTTTAACCAGTTTGATATCTGAGCTGAGTGTGTTCCATGTATTTATTTGTTTAGAGCATTAATGCTGTTTAACTTGCAATGAAACACACATGACAGTGTAGTGGCATTACCATAGGTCAATACTGACGAGATAATGGAGCACACACACACACTAGTCATTTCTTTTTGTGTGATTCAACTTTGTGTGTGTGTTCCAGGTGATGGGATGAATGCGTACATGGCCTACAAAGTGACAACCAAGGTGAGATTTCTATCAAACTGTATTTTCATGTCTCTTATAGGATGATATCGTCTGTCATATTCGAAACTATTAAAGTGAAAATTGTACCATAACAGTCGTCCATTAACTACAGAAGGACAAGAATGTGTTGCTCTGACAGTAAACAAAAACAAAACTGCCACACCAATATTTCTGGTACTCACCAAAAACAAATCAAAACTGGACTCTTCTGCTGTTCTTGGATCAGTACAACTACTCGGGTAAAACACAGAAGGTTTGCTCTGAGGGTGGCACCAGAGCAAAAAGCTGTGTTAGCCCAGTCTAAAGGGATTTTCCTCTGTATGGTTGTGATGTTTGGATATCTCCGTCAGGTTTTCAGATTCAGCTCTTCACTGCTTTATACTGTATATTCTCAGAGTTGAATGCTAACAGTACTATGTTAGCAATAGCTGTCTTAATGCTGAAGTGTCTTTTTTAACAACAGGGCAACACATTTTACTCCTTTGATGCATTATGTTTTGTGTATGTTGTTATATGTGCAAATAAACACAGTGAACTAAACCAAAACAAAACAGCTTAGGACACAGCTAGGATTAGCACGCTGCCTACAATTAGCATGTGTGTAAACAGTTATTAGAGATTAAGATAATGAACTTCAGTATTTAACATTTACTGTGTTAACATCCTCTGTTAGAATCAAGTTTAAATAATAACACTGGCTATGTAACATTTAGCATGTAACATGCACACAGTTTGCCACAACTTCCTGCATCTAGAATTGAACTGGAGACGTTAGGGTTACATGGTCGACACCTTAGCCACAAGGACGCCAAGACGGCCTGAGAATGGTCAGTGCGACGAGGCAAAGGATAAACTGAACATGCATGCAGTGTACATGTTATTGTGCTAGCATGTTAGCATATTAGCATACTAATGTTTGCATCAACAACCAGGGCTGGCATGGGCTCACATGTTGGATTATGTGGACATTTGACCTGCTGGGGGCACTACTGGGAAAAGGTGGAGTAACACTGAAGTCGGTGTACACCTGTACAAATATTTGTTGAGATATTTCTGTCCGGACCGAAGTAAGGGACTGACTTAATGACACTGCCTCTCTTCAAACTAGTGCAGCTAAAAACAGTAGGGAACTGTTGCACTGATCTTTTGGTAGTCAATCAGACTGTTTCTGTCTGTCTTATAATCAACAAACAGTCTACTGTTTGACATCTGAGAACTACAGAGCCTCTGCTTGACCCCAGTTTTATTTACTCTCTCTCTCTCTCTGTCTCTCTCTCTCTCTTTATGTCTCTTGCCCAGACCTCCATGTCTCTGTTTAAGACTGATGAGTTTTCAGTAAAAAGGCGTTTTAGTGATTTTCTGGGTCTGCACAGTAAACTGGCCTCCAAGTACCTGCACATAGGCTACATCGTCCCCCCTGCACCGGAGAAAAGCATTGTGGGTAAGTAAAGTTACACACTCCCTCCACTGTTCTCCTGGATGTAACTTCCCAAACTGAGGTGCATGAGTTTCTAAGGGTTATTCAGGTTCTCCCAAGGGGTCACACATAAAACACACTTTTGTTAACTTCTGTAGTCTTTACTGTTGTCGCAGACAAACAACAGTAAATATTCACAAATATAACAACATTAATGTGCACCTGATTGTGACTGTCCTCATCCTGGTTTAAATAAGTTCTCTGAACAAGTGTCTCCTCGTCTGCAGGGATGACCAAGGTGAAGGTGGGGAAGGAGGACCAGTCGTCCAACGAGTTTGTGGAGAAGAGGAGGTCGGCGCTGGAGAGGTACGCTGAGAAGACAATAAAAAATACACAAAATGTGGCAGCTGCTCATTCTGTAGGATTTAGAGAGAGTTTGATATAATATTGATTTTATTATATAAGACTGTTGTCTGGGATTTTGATTGTCATAATGATCAAACTGAGATTCACATTTTCATGGTTTTTCATGTTCATGTTTCTGGCCTTAAAAAAAACAAAAATAAGGGAAAGAAGAAGGGAAAGAAAATTACTTGAATATTAAAATGGTAATAAAAAGCTATAAAAGTTACAAAACTTTATAATAGTCTGTGTTCCTGTCATAGTGCAAATAGGCCTTTTCGACATCAGGCATTTTGACTTACCTTACATTGATTTTATTATTTACACCTGTGCTTTTCCTGCTTCTATTATCATTGTAATTGTGTGCGTGTGCGTGTGCGTGTGTGTGTGTGTGTGCGCAGTCATGGTAAAGACCAACTTGACCAGAACTTTACAGGCTGAAAGGTTAAACCACAAATATTAGATACATCATTATCACAATACACATGTTCGTGTGTGTGTGTGTGTGTGTGTGTGTGTGAGTGTGTTGAATATTGAGGAGGTGGGGAGGAGGTGGGCGGGGCTGACATTCTGCTGCCCTTTTACTGATGGTGTTTGATTGACAGGAAGGTCAGCCAGTGACAGCTGATGGAGCTCAGAGCTGCAGAACTCCACGCTGATGGACACACACAGACACACTTTGATTTTTTCTTTCTTTCTTAACTTTAATTTTTCATGAATATCTTGTTTTTTGGAAATAAAGGCTCTTTTTCATGTTTGATTTAAAAACAAAAATCAAAAGAATCAATTCTGTTTTTTAATCCTCGTAGTGTGACTATGGCTTGAGGAACTAGCTAGAGGAGCTAGTCTTTTAGCAACATTTTAAAACACATGCACCTTTTATTTTCAGGTTGCCACTGTGCACTTTAGACTTCAACAGGTAGCAGGATTCTTTAATTAGAGCAGCAATGGGTACTTTTTAAACAGAGCTGAGAACCTCTAAATACTGAGGAAAGTTACATTTCTGACACCAATCAATCATATAAAGAAGCTGGTTTCCCACAACAACCCAAAGAGGAGAATAATGAATCACATGATTAGTAACAGGTCGCCATAATATAGTCGCCATAATAAGTGTTCTTGCGCTCAAACCAGTATTTTTATTTTGTCTCAGGTATCTGATGAGAACAGTGAAGCACCCCATCCTGCTGAAGGATCCTGATGTCCTGCAGTTTCTGGAGAGCTCAGAGGTAAACAAAACTTTACACATTTTACTAGAAGAACGTGAACCTATCTTATGCCAGTCAGTCTGTATGAGTAGTACACAACAAACCTCAAAAAACCTGTTATTAACAGACAATCAGTTCTCTGTACTTCCTTGTTTCCCAACAACAGTGATTTAGTTTCAGCAGCAGTTTATTCAGCCTGGGGCCTGTTTAATGTCACTGGCAAACTTTTAAAGTCCAGTCAGCCTTTAAAAGTTGACTACAGTCGGCATTGTCTGTTAGAAACTGAATCTTCATCAGTGCCTTACTGCAGAAAATCAACAAAACCTGCAAACTGCAGTTTGGCTTCTTCGCTTCAACACTTTGTCTTGTTTCCATTTCTGTAGTTTAATTTTCATCTGGACACTAGATCACTGGGTAGGAGATAAAAACAGGGCAGCACATTGTTGTTTATGAGATGCAGTTTACAGTGCAAGTTTTGGGTCAGGTGAGCTGAGAAATAAAATGGTTCAACTCAAGTGTTTGTCCATTTGTTTCCTAGCTAAACAAGTGATGAGAATTTAGATCAGGTAATGACAAAAAGCATTGCTGGATTGACCTGTGCAGACACTATAATGGATGGTTACTAACCAGGATTTATCTATCATTATGCTAGGACTGGGGATATGTCAAATGAATTTAATAATTAATTAATCACGCAAAAAATAATTATCAATTAATTCCTTTTTAATTAATTCATAACTTAGTAATTAAAGTAATTATTTAACAATTAATGTTTTTAAGATGTGTAAAATCGTGAAATTCAAACTATTTCAACCAAAAAGTGTTATATAATTAACATAGATGAAAAATAATGGAGAAACTGCAGGATGAAAGGAATTACACAAATAGTGTCTAAAATAGTTTTTGGATGTTGCCCTCTGACCCACAATGTTGCTCTCTACATACAGAAAAACAATTGATTCAACCTGAAATAACAGAATTTTTTTTTGGGCCACCAAAGGGCAGCGAAAACAAGCTGTGAACACTGCATTGACATATTTTAAGTTGATATGTTAAACTTGTTCACAAACGGTTACTTATTTACACACCAGCAGTTATGCAGCAACATTATCAGCCATTTAGATCAGTGTTTGTGTCCAGCTGATTAACATAAGATCAGAACAGGAACAATAGGGAAATATCTATATCTCCCACTGTGTTCTCCAGCTCGTCTCTAACTGTGTCGGTCTGCTGCTGAGCACGTAGTGTGCAGTGGGGTTTTAGAGCTTTTTGCTGAAAAACAAATTACACTATGAGAGCAGAGAGCCGAAACTCACAAAGCTCTGCTGACAATTCTCTGTAGGTTCGTACATTATTACAAAGATTTCAGTCGTGGCCTCTTTAAAGATTTTAGACACCACCTTGTTTATTCTGAAAGGCTTACTGGAGCTACATGGTGGCACTAGCTGAAAGGTCAAGGGTCCTCTGGGGACCATTAATATCCACAATAATGTGCTGGTAATCTGACCAGCAGTGTTAACGTATTTCACTCTGGACCAAAGAGATGGACACACAGACAGACTGACTGAATATCTGACAAATAACGGACCCCCAAAAGAAGCGAAAGAAAACCTCTGCCTGAGTTTTCTGATCTCTTCACTTCTTTTACTCAACAAGCAGCAAAACGTCCCGACAAGGTCAAACCATCAAGTCTGCGGTTGTGAGCCGAGCCTTTAAAACTGCCTTGGGGTTTAAGGGCCTGCGGCGTTTCCTGTTTCCTCGCTTTATTGTCCACTCTGACTAAATCCTCTATAACATTTCGTCTTGTTGGTTCAAACTGCCCCCCCTCCCCTCCTCCTCCTCCCCTCCTCCTCCTCATCGCCCTTTTCTGCCACCCACCTAACCGTTTTGTGGGATTGTGTTGGGAAGGAGCCGGCAGTTGTTGGGTCCACAATAAATGGCCTTGTGTCACTGATTTAACAGATGAATCACTCGGACGCTTGACCGAGCGTGTCGGTCCGTCCAGCCCGCTTAATGAAACACAACCAGAGGAGGGGGGAGGCGCGAGGGAGGGATGGGACTGGGTCTGCAATTGAAAGCTATTTTTACCCCCCCTCCACTCGTTTACCCTCGTCCCTCCGTCAGTGAGGGCCTCAGGGACCGAGCCGTCCCCTGGCTGCTGCCGCTCCCGTTAAATGAGATTGGAGGGTGGGGAGGGGGTAAATCTGTTCCAGCGTCAGAGTAAAACCCTGTATGTCCGGGAAAAAAGTAAACTTTTCCAAAATGAAGAAAAATGAGCCTATTTTCAGATGGACGTCCAGGCGTTTTCAGAGTGACGCGATGGTTTCTGAGTCTGTTTTTGCGGCTGTTAAAGTTGCTCGGCACATAAAGCGGCTGCATTAAATCTGATTGGAGCTAAAACGTGGGAGACATTACAATCAGAGGAGAGGAGAGAAAAGACCACAGCTGTGGTAGAGTTAGAGATGGAAGGAATGATAGAACAGAAAAGAGAGACACCAGAGAAACTGAACACAACAGCCACCAAAAGAATATAAAAATTAAAGGAAGAAGAATCATGAAGGTGAAAGAAGGACAAATAAAGTGAGCAGGAGAGCAAATAAAGAAAACAATTGCAGAAGATTTGAAATTAGACAAACTGAGAGACTTGGTGGAAATTAAAGAATGAAATGAACCAAAGAAAAAGAAACAGAAATATAAACGATCAACAAGGAACAAAGAGAAATAGAACAAAGTCTGAAATATGGAAAGATTTTCAGAAACTGAATAAAAAAATAGAGTGTGTGACAAGCTAAAGATTAAAAATAAGAGAACAAAAGGGCCCTGTTAGCTCAGTGGGTAGAACTGGCAACCCATGTACTGAGGCTGAGTCCTTGCTGCAGCGGCCCAGGGTTCGAATCCGACCTGCGGCCCTTTGCTGCGTGTCATCCCCTCTCTCTCTCTGCCCCCCTTCCCTGTCTATCTTCAGCTGTCACTATCAAAGGCAACAAAAAGCCCAAAAAATATACAAAAAATAAATAAAAATAAGAGAAACAAACAAACAAGAGAAAAGCAAAAGAAGCAGAAAACAGAATAATATTAAAGTGAAAATGAAAGAGAGAAAAAAAGTGTCAAAAAAGAATCCGGAAAAAAAGAGATGACATAAAACGATATACAAATGAATAAAGACTGGTCCCCAATGAAGTTACAGTGGAATACTGTAATGGCTCACATTGTAAATTCAGTATAACATACATTGACACAGCTCTTTAAATCTGTGTAAATCAAATTTTGGAAATGTTGAAAGTTACAAAACCCTCCAGAAATGACACTGATTACTCTCTTTAAGCAGCTTTTAATGTGAAACATCATTGCAGGAAGTGTTTAGTTTTATTGATGATAACTTGATTTAAAAAAGGAGCCAAATCAAATTAACTGGAAGTAATTAAACTGAGTTTATCAAAACAAGGAAGTTTGCATAAACAGCAAATTAAAACATTGGCAGATCAGTAAACGGGGAGCTTTCTTACTTAAATAGCATTAAATATACTTCTTTAGAAAAAAGGGAAAATTAATGAGAAATAAAGGCCTGTCTCTTCCCCAATTTAACCACTCATCCGGTTTGTTTGTTTGTTTGCTGTCCAGTTGCCGCGGGCAGTCAGCACTCAGGCCCTTAGCAGCGCCGGACTTCTCCGAATGGTCAACAAGGCTGCAGACGCCGTCAACAAGATGACCATCAAGATGAACGAGTCAGACGCTGTGAGTGAAGGATGGAGGAGAGGAGGAAGGAAATAAGGTGGAGGACTGAGGGGAAGGATGGGAGGACAGAACGATCAAGGAAGGAGGAGGAACAGGGAGAGAAGAGTGGATAGAAGGGAGGAGAGATGACCGTAAGGCTGGAAGAATGAAGGGAATTAAGGGAGCAGGGAAGAAAGGAAGGAAGAGAAGATTAAATAAGTGTTGGTGAAGAAAGGAAAAGTAAGAATGTAGAGAAGATAGGGAGCAAGATAGGAAATATGAACTAAGAAAGTGGAGTCGGGGTGGAAAGAAAGAAAAATGGAAATAATAGAATAGGAAGAAAGGCAAAGTGAAGATTCAGATGGAGCCGAGAAGATTTTTGGATAATTAAAGATTATATTAGTTAAAACTAAGTTTTAAAGTTTAGCATCTACTGACAGCACTCTTACTAAACCTGGTGTGTGTGTGTGTGTGTGTGTGTGTGTGTGTGTGTGTGTGTGTGTGTGTGTGTGTGTGTGTGTGTGTGTGTGTGTGTGTGTGTGTGTGTGTGTGTGTGTGTGTGTGTGTGTGTGTGTTGTGTGTGTGTGTGTGTGTGTTTGTGTGTGTGTTTGTGTGTGTGTTTGTGTGTGTGTGTCTCTGTCTCTGTGTGTGTGTTGTGTCTCAGTGGTTTGAGGAGAAGCAGCAGCATTTTGAGAATCTGGATGTTCAGCTGAGGAAACTTCATGCCAGTGTGGAGTCTTTGGTCTGTCACAGGAAAGGTACGACGGCCCTCTGTAATATTTAGTTTTTAAGCATAACAGTTATTAGGTTTGTTTTAGTCTCTGAAGGGATCTTACAGAACGGCTCCACATATTGTGAAAATGATCTAAAAATACAAAATATTTTAGGGAGGCAAGCCTTAAACCCACATAATGTAGATGTAATCACTATACATATCTGTGTGTGCGTTCATTCAGATCTCTCACTGCAATATAAAATTCCACTGCTTTATTTATTAGACAGTTAAAAGGTTTCAACTCTACTCAGCAGGAGCTGTACACCTCATGTCATTTTAATCTGCATTTAAACCCACAAAAAGAAGAAGAAAGTGGTGTTATTTTTATTTGAGGATAGAGCAAATGTAGAAAACTCTTTTATAAACTGAATAAAAGACACTCTGCTGGCATGTACTAAATCACGTTTTGAGACCAGACTCTTGAATTTCTCCCATCGTCTCCTCTCCAGAGCTGTCGGTGAATACGGCGCAGTTCGCCAAGTCGGCGGCCATGTTGGGGAACAGCGAGGACCACACGGCTCTGTCCCGAGCTCTGTCCCAGCTGGCCGAAGTGGAGGAGAAGATTGACCAGCTGCACCAGGACCAGGCCAATGCAGATTTCTACCTCTTTTCCGAGTTACTGGGCGACTACGTCCGCCTCATTACCGCCGTCAAGGTACAGCCGAGTTTGCTGGTTAGACAAAAACCCCATTACACAGCACCTGAGCCTCCTGAGCCTTTAACCTGGAGAGCCTCTATCCTTCTGTAGAGTACATTTATTTTATTTAGTGAAGTTAAAGGCAGTTATTACTATAACTGTGTTCTGCTGAATTACTGATCCAACCTGCTGTGTGAGCTGCTGGACACCAAACACCTGAGTGCAGGTAGGATCGAGACACAGTGTGAAAGTAGAGTAGAGTAGAGGGCAGTAGAGTAGAATTAAATCGTGGTTATTTGTATATTTTATTGAGAACTAGCTGCAGATATTGAACCTTATTTGAACCCAGGCAACAAGTTTAAAAATGTATATAAAATGAGACCTGTTGTTTATGATAAAGCATTTATATCCTTTATATAAACTTCAAATAAATATGTACTGTATCTACCTCAAGAAGATATATTGGAATACATTCTACTTACAGTAAAGTTTAGTAATTATGTTTCTTAATTAACACATTGTTCATGTGTCAGAACTCCCTCTGCAGCTCAGTAAAGTTTGGGCCTTTAAGGTCTCATCCTTGACATTTTTGTAGTTGATTGTGTTGCCGCCTTCTCATAAGATCAAACAAACTAAACTAAAGAAAACTAAATCTCACAGCTGCTGTAACAGAGGAAAAGCTTCAGTGTTCTGTGTATTTTTCTATACATGAACAATTAATTTGTTCATAAAAAAACTGAAATTAACATATTTGCGACATTTAAGCAGATTTAATCATTTTAGTTTAGTTGCTTCAAATGATCCCCTAGGTAAACAAATAATGTATCTTGTAATTGAAAATCGATGTTATTGTTTGAAGTGACTGTTTTTCATGGTCTTTGGAGTAACCAGTGGAGTCAATTCTGTATCAAACTATGTGCGTGTGTGTGTGTGTGTGTGTGTGTGTGTGTGTGTGTGTGTGTGTGCGCAGGGTGTGTTTGACCACCGTATGAAGACGTGGCAGAAGTGGCAGGACAGTCAGTTGCTCTTGCAGAAGAAACGAGAAGCTGAAGCCAAACTGCAGTTCACCAACAAACCAGACAAACTGCAGCAGGCCAAAGACGAGATCAAAGAGGTGAGACGGACAGACACACAGACAGATGGAGGGAAGAATGAACATAGACCGAAAACGTAATCAAAGTAACAAGTGGGGGAAAAAACTTTCTAGGAGGCCAGTATACGGGTAATCGGAGAGTAAGCTGACTGTTATGTAGTAAAACATCGGCAATAAAATAAATGGGATATAAATTTTCAGAGCAACAATAAACAAGGAAATGTTATACGATGCAGAACAACATGTATACGAATTAAAACATGTAAAACACAAACATACTATACACAGAGCGAGCAACAGGCACATCCTAATAATAAAGGCAAGCAAATCACACTAAGACCACAATGAAAGACATGTACAGTGGTTAAAAAAATACAGACTGGCAATGACCATGTGATAGCAGGCTGTGTGTGGTTCTTACAGTTCCAGCACAGCAGAGTTAAAAAAAAAAGTGTCACAAACAAACAGACTTTCAGTGGTGTCGTCAATAATTACTGAATGCTTAAAACAGAAAAAGAAACAGGTTAAAGGTTTTAAAAAACCCATAATGTCTCAGACGTTGATTTGCAGACTCAATGTAGTGTAAAATAATTATTCTCCAGAGTCTACTGTATAATGGGTATTTTTATAATAACAGTGTATTAAATGACTACGTTAAAACAATCTGACAATGTGAAATGAGTCTCTGTTTGGGATGAACCTACAGAGAATTAGCAGCTGAATCTGAAGCTCCACTTGCCTTCACTGTGCTTTATAGAAAGTTTCAACTTGTTGTTTAGCCGGTTAATGCATTCATAGCCCTAAAAACCCATAGTGCACCAGTTTCTCAGCAGCAAACAACAGACAGACACAGGTAGAGACTAGCTGGTGGACATAATGGAGCATTTAGCTGCTAAAGAGCCAGATATTTCCCTCAGGGGTTGGTAGAGACCAGAAACATAGCTAAAAGAGAGCTAATATTGGACTTGCATTCATCAGTTGGATACAAACACCACTCCAAATGAATGAGCTACCTTTTATCAGAAGCAGGATTAAACTGGGGACATTGTAGTTGTATGGTATGCATCTGAAACTACCAGGGCACCAGGACAGCCCAGTAAAATAAAGGCGTTGATTATCGTCTTCATTACATCTGTAATCATGAAGTGCAGTTATTGTCAGTCATGTTTTTGTCTGGGACTTCTTCTTCCTTTAAAATAATTAGTACACTTGTTAATCATATACCAGACTATGAGTATGATTATGACAGTAATAAATGTTTATGGTTCGAGTTAGTTTTACGAGTCGGGTGAAACGTTGCTCTCGGGAATCAGTCTCCTCTCTCTGAGGCTGTTGGTGTGTCCAGTCAGGTAAAACAATCGCACCTTCGCAGTTCAGTCATGTGAAAACTTTTTTTTTTGTAGTGTATAAATCTTGTTTTCGTTCAGTCTGCAGACTACACATGAACTCAGTACGACAAACAAGAGCAGGAGAGAGTAGAAAAGTACTTTATTAGAGCATCTGTTGAAGCTGTCACCACACAAATTCATCCTCTCTGTCAGGAACACACACACACACACACACACACACACACACACAGTTGGCGTGGTCGGGGGTCTGGTATTAGAGCAGAAGAGCTGTCAGATATGGAGTGTTGGGAGGAGGATGGGAGGAAGGTTTGGGGGGAGGCAGGGGAGGCTGTCAGAAGCTGCAGACGAGGACAGATCGCAGTAGAGTTACAACCAACATTTATTTGGAGCCGACATGAGTTTTGCCGCCTGTCAGGAGTCGGGTTTTGGTTCACGGCTTGACAACAGCCAACAGAAAACACACAGCGGCTTTTTCTAAAGTCAAAAAAAGAGAAGAGTTTTACTTCACACTGCTGCTGTTGGAAACCTGGCGAAGAGCTGCTACAAACAACTAATGCCAGAGATAATACCTCTTCAACCTGTGAATACATTTGTAGTCCATTATCTGAAGGGTTAATGCACATGAACCTCAACAGCCCAGAGGAAAGTTTTGTATAAAAGATTGGCAGCAGAGGGAGTAAAATCTGTGAACATCCTCCCCTCTTCTCTCCTGCTGCCTGGCTGCTGTTGGTGTCAGGTAGTTCTCTTTTTCTCCGGACAAACATATCTGTAATCCCACTCCTCACAATAAACAGCACAACAACAACAACGAAAAAAATTGGGAGAGCATACAAGACAAGGTGCATACTGAGGCTGTGTTCACACTCCTTAATGCTCAGTCTGGATTTATTGATGGCTATTCACATTATTTTATAAATGGGACTCATATCACACTCCAGTGTGAACAGGTCAGGGTCCTGAAGTGACCTACATGACAAATGCCAATCTAGAGTGATGTAAAAGCCACATGACTCCTGACTGTTGGACACATTATGAAAACTGAGGCCTTAATCTAATTGAACCACATATTAGTGCCCTCAAAATTGTAAAGTTCAGATTCCATGTGATTTGTGCTGTTAAAAAACTAATCATGTCATCATCATGCCTGCAGTGTGAATGAATCCTAAACCAGCTGATATAGAAAAAAGAGAAAGAAAACAGAAGAGTTAGTGTGTGGAAACGGTCCTCTACACTAGTGTATACAAGTTGTTATTGTGAAGATGTCTCTCCAAACTGGAAGTATTTCTACTACTTTATACTTCTATTTATTATATTTAATACATTTATTTGACAGCTTTCATTACCTTGCAGATTCAGATTAATAATACAAAATGACATCTGCACTGTCACTGGCTGTATTGTGTAGTAAGTGCACTTTATTTTTTTTTAAGTCTGTATTGAAAAATAAACTTGAACTTAACAACACTCACTAGTTTTACTTCGAGGTCACTAATTAAAAGATTCTACTCAGGCAGGAACAGGACTCACAGTCTGATGTGAAACAAAAGAAAATCCTCCTAAATATAGTAAATTAAAATGAACACAGAGGAAATGTGTAATTGGCTTCATTAAGGACTGTTGTTCTACACTAAATCATATCAGTTTTTTACAACTCAGTGATATAAAACAGAGTGGTGTGTTTGGAGTCTGTCTCATTATTAAACCACACTGCCCCCTGTGGGCACCAAATGGGAACAACAGTTCAGAGTTTAAAACACACTGCTGCTGTCTGTACAAGGACACTGTTGTGCTCCTAGAAAATAGTTTTCTTTCAAACCAGAAGGGTAGGTTTTATTCTGGATGTTATTTTTGCACCTGTTTTAATTATTAATTTAGAACCTCAGATTTTTTTCTGTGTTAGGGTGAAGGGGACATTAAGTTTTTCATTTTGTAATATAAAAGTACATATAATGTATTTTTTTTTTAAGGGAAGATACTACTATTATTTAGACTGATAAGGCTTAAATTCAACTTGTTGGCCAAGAAAAATGCAAAACAAATGTATGAATAAGTAGAACAAATTAGCATAATTCATGGAGGAATAGAGAACAATCCTGCTACTACTAACTTTTACGTCATCATGTAGAAAACTCATTGACATGCAGTTTTTTAAAAATAAAATAACACGGAAAACATATACAAATTAATTCCTGTTCAAAATGAAGTGGTGGAGTGGTTATTATTTCAGGTTCTGTTAGTTATTGAGAAGAAAAATGCCAAAATGGTTCCATGTAGCTTCTTAATTGTGAGAATTTGCTGCTTTTCTCTGCTTAATGTCTGTAAAATGAAAATCTTTTGTGTCTTTTAGCAGTTGGTCGGACAAATTGAGCAGTTTTAAACCATCCTTGCAGCGCTGATGCCCAGTTAGAGAACTGTAATGCTGCCTGCTTCTGTTCGTCCTCTGCAGCTTTAACTTCAGCACAGGTAGTTGGGACTGTCCGCTCGGGTTTGAACAGAGCAGATATTCTTGTGCCAAAGCAAGAATCCTTCCTGGACCCTGACTCTGTCTAGAGTGAGAGGTTCAACAAGTTACAGCAGATATTTTGCTACGAAGTGTTCACCCTGCCTCATTCACTTTCACAACAGTTAGTGTTTACTGTGAACTTGTTCCTTCTAACCTCTTTATCAAGATTACACCCTTTATGGAAGCCCTGGCACGTGTTTACGTCCTACATCACAGAACCTGATGTCTACTGTTGCTGTTTTATGAAGATGTTGTTTTTTGATTAGATCAGAAGCTAAATTAAATGAAAGCACACACGATCCCAAAATATACAGTGTTCTGCCTTATACGCATTAGGGCTCCTAATGAAGGTGAAATAATTAGTGTGAGTACTGAAAATTATGGAAACCCCGAGAGGCAAGCGAGGAAAAACTAAAATCTGGTGATCTATTATGGAAGTCCGATCAAAATTGTTTTTCTGGGATAATAAGGTCCTTTAATTTCTTTTCTTTTCTTTTTTCCCAAAACATTTTTCCGTTTAACAAAATAAGCAACTTTTTTCAGAAGCATTCATGTTTATTGTCTCAACTCAAATTGCTGTACAAGAACTTGGCCATAATCAAAATAATACAGAACAACTTGAACAAAATATCTGATCATAAAACAAAAACACAAGAAAAGACTCTGACAAAATATTTACGTCCAACTTTTTGTCTGTTTTTCAAAGTTACTTCTGCTGAGGGTATAAAAATAAGTTTAAAAAAAGATAATGAAAAATAAGTTTTTGTTCTCAGCTCTTGTGTCTTAAAGCCTCGGGTTCAAACCAGCTTGTTTCCTCACAGTATTCTCACAGTGTTTCAGGGAGGACTTTTCCTTTTTGGTTGGTGGTTTTGTTTGCTCATGTCTCTGGATCTTCCTCTATGATTTTGGAAGCTCTGAACATTTTTTCCTGCCTCTTAAAATTTTGTTGCATTTTCCCTGCCATGCCTTCCTGCAACCAGGAGATTGAGGAGGTAGGACCTGCCCCGTCTGTCTGTCTGTATGGCTGTCTGTCTGTCTGCAGCTCTGTGTCCACCTGGCTGACTGCCTGCTTCACACCTTTATAGTTGCCTCATTGCACCATTTGGTTCACATATTTATCATTGTTTAGTTGAATACTTTCATGATGCCATTCATTTTTTGTTTGTTTGTCCTGCCGTCAAACAGTCCAGAGTCACATGAATTAGTTTGTCAGAGTAGGTCAGAGTTTCTCAAATTTCCCTTTTGGAATAACTTACTAAGAGCCTTTTTCTGATCATCAAGGTTAAAAACTTTCATTTTGGGTTTGATAGTTTGACCTGAATCTGAATCAAACAACAGACAAACGCTTTCATGTGACAACGTAGATCATCTAGTCAAACAAAGTTTTTATTTGCATCCACGTGGATTATAGAGCATAGATTATTTCCTCTTTATTCATGGAAACCTCACATAACCAGCGAGTAAAGCTAATTAAGTGCCTTCATTATTTCAACCTATTAAAGACTCATTTAACCAGGCGGTTGTTGTGTTAGTTTGGTTAATATCAATAACTTCAATTAACAAACATCCTCTAAACTAGTATCAACACTGTTGAGTCAGTTCATAACAGAGATGGAAATACATGACTCATCAGTTCATTATTTTACAAATCTTGTAAACTTGCTGCAGGAAACGTTTAAAAGCTGAGCACCAAACCAACATCCGAATGGTAAATCTTTGGAACTTTAACACTTGCTTTGTACAATAAGTGAAGACATTTTGAAAGCTGAAGTTTACTCAACGTTAATAATTATTAATGTTGTTAATTTATTAATTAATAATGTCCTCAGACCGTCACAGTGCATTCAGTATGAAGTCCGTCACATCTCAGAGTGGCTGCTTCTTGGTTTTTCATTCAAACAAAATTATAGTTCTTATTTTTGCTGTTATGGGATTAAAATATTGTTTTGTTGAAAACATCAGTTCACAACTGAAATTTGTAAGAAAGAAAGACAGAAAGTTGACAGTTTGAAAGGTGATCTTTGCCAGATTAAATTTACACCTTTTAAAAGATTGATTTCACTTTACCCTTCAAATTCAGTATCCTTAGTTGACTGAACTCTCTGAACACACTTTGACAGATTCTTTTTTAAATCAGCAGTGGGGCTCGGCGGATATAACAAGACATTGCAGTACAGACCAACCTAGGTTTGAGGTCTCAGTTACAGTTTGTACACCAGAAACCTTCAACAGGTAGATTTTTCAACTGTAAAATGTCCTGCTCAGTACGTATCTTGGCCACAATTAGACTAAATTAAACAAGAATTAAACAAAATATAAAATCTAAACCAAAACAATTCCTGTCAAGACATTTTATGTCATGTGTTATCAGATTTTTATTTAAACTCCCAAATATTGAAATAAGTATCAGCCCCAAAGATGTATTTGCCAGACAATAATCAGGAGAGTTATACAGGGTGGACAGTTGATCGTGTTATTGTCGTTGTTGCTGAAATTTGGGTAAATAGACACTTTAAAGACTAATACCTGTAACAATCTGAAGATTGCATTAGGATTTATAGATTTACAGCTGATAATCTATTCATCATAATAAACTAAATAAAATGGACCAACAAGGTTCCTCATCTAAAATGGGGATGCAAATTCTGATTTAAATGCAAATAATGAATGTTGTCTTTGTGTGTGTGTGTGTGTGTGTGTGTGTGTGTGTGTGTGTGTGTGTGTGTGTGTGTGTGTGTGTGTGTGTGTGTGTGTGTGTGTGTGTGTGTGTGTGTCTGTCTGTGTGTGTCTGTGTGTGTGTGTGTGTTTCAGCTGGAGGGGAAGGTCCAGCAGGGAGAGAGAGACTTTGAACAAATCTCCAAAACCATACGCAAAGAAGTCAGCAGGTTTGAGGTGAGAGGATTGGATGGATGGAGATGGGAAGGATGGATAAATGAATGTTCACCTGTTAATGTGAGGTTCATCCTGAAATTCTCTGTATATTCAAAAATGTTACTTTGATCCTTTGTTTTTGTTTTTTTCAACAGAAAGAGAGAGTGAAGGACTTTAAAATGATCATTATCAAATATCTGGAGTCACTGGTTCAGACACAACAGCAGGTAAAGACAATATAATAATAATAATAATTTATTATTATTATTATTGTTGTGAGAATACTTCAATATGAACCTATGTAAAATCAAATAACTTATAATATCCAAAAGATTACTCTTATCTTACAGAAGTCTACGGGTTATCAAAAGGCTTTTGTGTGTGTGATGTTTGACAGAATTAAAATTAAAAATGTTACTCCAATGAAAATAAAATCAAATTCCTACTGGCAGGATTTTTGAGGCGTCTTAGGACATAATTCATACATAAGATAAAATAATACATAGGACATGATGTGTGCTTGTTGTTTTTAAGTTTTATTTAGCTACCTCAAAGAAAAATTCGAATTTCCTTGTAATTCTCATTTCACATACAATTTAATTTGTATTATGGCAGTGCTATTATGCCTAGAAGTACATTATTTGTCTATGCAGTAATTATGCATTTTCAAACATGATTTAAACCATTTATTATGTCATACATTATGTGCATACAAAGGTCAGTTTTATTAAATTATTCAGTAGTGGCAACCACAGACTTCCATACATGAGTTTGTTACATATCATTTTAACCAGTACAGATTCTGCATACAGATAGAACGACAATGAATGAAAAGTGAATCTTTTTTCTTTTTCTCCTACAGCTGATAAAATACTGGGATGCCTTCTTACCTGAGGCCAAGGCCATCTCATAGAGTCCGCACATACACAACAGACAGTCCTGACTGGCTCCGGTCAAACAACACTACCCATAATGCACCTGTTCTCCTCACTGTCATCCTCCTGTTTGTGGCCAGAGTGAGGAAGAGAAGTGAGACAGTGAATCAGCTCAAAGTGACTTTTCTGCAGTTCTAAAAATCAACAACAAAACTCTCTTGAACTCACAGTTCACCATCTTTCAGTCCTCTCTTTTTCTTTCTGCTGAGCTCAGTGCTGTATTCACGTCCTGTGAGAATCGTTGTCCTTCTGATTGATGCTTTCACATTGATGCTTTCACAATTATAGTTACAGTTTTGCACTCCTCATACTATTTCCTTGTTAGTGTTAATAAAAATTAAGGAAGGCCAAATTGGGAAAAAAAACCCATGCAGAATTTTTCAAACTGGAAGCTCATAATCACGTACGACATGAATGCAGCACTAGTTATGATCCTTGTGATGGCTTTCCTCTACACACAAACATATTCTAATATGGTGTCAGTTTTTATAGCTGGAGCACTTTAATTTATTTTTTCACCAGACACGAGGTGAATGGGTGAGTAGAGAAGTAGGTGGAGGAATTTCACTTTATTGTATTTGAGTTTATTTTAAGGATCACACAATGTCCATCAACATAGACAGATATCCACATTCTTAGGTAAAGAGATTGTTTTGTTTTTTCAGTTTGGTTTTTGGATGTATGGAAGCCCATTCCTGCCATATAAGATCAAAAGTCAGGAATTGTAAAACTAAAACAAATTGTCAGGGAATGTCAAAATGATATGAAGTAAGAAAAGAAAAATGTGACTTTGTTATAAGAGAGGTTTAAATTCTGACAGAAAATGATGAGACACTAAATGCCTTTTATCAGAAAAAAACAGTGGGTGTGTATATAATGCCTTACACCACATCCAGTTTTATTCTGCTGATTCTTATTTGCTTTTACAAACATGTTTCTCTCTTATCTGTTGCTATATAGTTAGTTTTTTCATAAGTCTCCACTACAAGAATACATTTTTTAGGCTAAATTAATGACTGAAAGAGCAAAGAATCGTGCACAATCTGAGATACATACTTTTCATATTCACAGTTGTGAGTCATTTCCTGCCAGATAATTCAAGAATGAAGCACAGTATCTGTAAGGAAATTTTCTAAACTTAAGCATCACCTACTAGCATTTCCATAGACAAAAACAAAACAGAAACTTGTACAGTAATGTTGTACAGCTATGTACAACATTACTCTTCTTTAGTCCCCCTATTTAGCACTTACAAGCAGTATACAAACTGCTGATAAAGGGTTAATAATGCACCATAATTGGTTGTAAGCACAGCTGTGGGCACCCATCACTGGAGGTTGGTGTATAAACAGATAATGAATGATAATATTGTAAAACACAATTGCAATAATAAAAAATATGTCTCCATAGGACCAATTGTAATTGTTGACAAAAACTTTATATTAGTAAAAACTTAAAAAATGTTCTTGTAACTGGTAAAAACTACAATATAGGGTGTTTTAAATTAAATGTTTGTGTAATGCTTATAAATGCTAAATATGGGCACTTAAAGTAAATCATTCCTGACTTTTCTTTAGTTCTAGTTTTCTTGGCAAGAAAGGGCTTCCATACATTGTCCCTAAATACTACAGTACCCATGAGCCTCTGCAGAAGTTGGAGAGCCTGGAGAAGGTTGGATTCAAAGCTGTGAGCTGTGAGATGTATCGTATTCAGAAACAACCTCCAACTTCACCCTGCTGCAGTGTTCTCTGGGAATTGTCCTCCACTATCAGTTGTTATGCTAACAGTGCAAACACCTTTTTTTTTTTTTTCTTAGAATAGAACAGGAAGTATACATGGGACCTTTGTGCCACTAAAATACCCAAAAAAAACCTTGAAATCAGAATATTTTTATTTTGGAGTTTAGCGCGTGAGCTATGAAACTGATCCGGGGTCAGTGAAGAAGGACAACTGAATGCATCCTTTTGCTATTTTGTGTCTTGTACTTCCCGTCACCTGTTGAATCCCCTCACTTCCCCTTATGCCTTTCAAAACAAGAGCCCTTCATTTTGTTGCTGTATGATCGTGAGTGAAGGCAACATTTTCTGTTTCTGCCATCTTTGAGACAATGAGAGTGGAGGAGGAAGAACACTTTCTGGTTCAGTTCACTGCTGCTTTCAGATGAAAATGTCCATACCTAGTTAATAAGAATAAACTCTGTTTTTAATGTGTACTAGGATGATGAATTTCCCTAGATGCAGTAAGCCCATTTTCACTTTAATTCATCTGAATCGTGGGTGTGTAGAAAGTAGTCAGAAAAAAGAAAACCCAATCAAATCCAGGTGTAAATGCTGATGAACTACAAGCACCCAGTGAATGTCGTCAGAGATGCATTTCATAATTTTTACAACCTTGTAAGAATTGATTTGGTCAAATTATGTTTGGACATCTAGTTTAAATCAGGGGGAAAAAAGTTTTAAAGGTTAGTTTTTTGTCATCTACATTACATATAACCATTGTATAAAACAGCATGTAGTACTTCACTCTGAAATAGAGTCATTTAAACACTGCTGAAACCACAGTTACATCTCTGCCTATATGGTCTTTTGATCTGTAGATCACCAAATTAGTGCTTACTGGTAAGGTTGTAAAATGAAGTTTAGGATTTTGATGAATGGAGAACCAGCGAGACAAGATGTCAAAATAAAAATATTTGTTTTCAAAGAGTTTTAAAGTTATAACATTTTCAGTTAATCTTACGTTATCATGACCAACTGAATTAGACTGACAGGCTAAACTATTCAAGTAAGATCCAGTATGTAAACTGTAAGTTGTGTATAACACATTGTCCACATTCTAGCAGTGCCTGTTCACAAAGAGATGCATCACTCAATAGAATCACTTTTGACCAACAGAACAATGCAGCTTTTCTCCGTAGCATTATTGTAGTTTTTTTCTTCCCAAGTGCCCAAGGGGGAAAATGTTTCTCCCCTGCATTGCTCCTGTTATTATCAGTTGCGTTTCTCTGTCTGAACGAGGTCTCGAGGGGCCTAAACAGTCTTGCTGTGGAAGAATCAGATCAAACTCGAGGGTTAAAAAAGTGAACCGATCTCTGTCAAGTCATATTAGATCAGCGTTCAATCATAAAATACAAATAAACAGTCATATCCAAAACAATTACAGAGCAGCAGAGTATGAAAGCTTGCAGTGTGGAGAGAACCATGGCGTTTTTCTTCCTCCTGTCCGTTTGCCTCAAAGAGGAGACTTTGATGTTTTGAATTTTGGTTGATTAAACTCAACAGGAAATAAAAAAAAATAAAATAAAAAAAAAAGCTTGTTAGCATCTTTAGCCTTTTTCAGTTTTAGCAGCTTGTGATGCTAACAAGCTGATTTCATTGCAGATGAAGGATTTTCCTGTTGAAGAGTCTGACCTGAAGTGTTGTAGTAGTTTCCGGTGTGGAGGAAGTGAGGGACTGTAAAGTGTGTGTCCGTCCAGAAAGCAGCCTCAGACTGTGAGGATTATTTTTACTGGCTGTTTCTCTTCCTGTAGATCAGTGTGAGGGCTGCAAATTCCACAGAATCTGTTCTTGATTTTATTTTATTGAATTTAAAGCACACTTCATTATCAGAAGAAAATCATCCATCATCCTGAATCTGTCAGAGAAGCTACAACTCTGTTTTTCATCTCTTATGAGATTAAAGTTGGAATCAAAACTGGAAATGTTTTTAATTTTTTTTCAGCCCTCATTCCGTCTACTTCTCAATCTTAAATCATATTACACTATGTTGATTGCTACTTTTTTGTATTTTATTATGTTTTATTCCACATTTTTTGCCGCCTAATGATGTGCAATGGTTGAGAATTTTTCAGTTGATTTTATTTTAATTTTTTCATTTTCACATTATGATAAAATGCTTTATCTGAGCAGATTTTTTTAAACTTTTAGTTTAGACGTGTCATTCCTGCAGCGCGGCAAAGCAGATGTTTGAGAACTTTAATAATAATAAAGGAATGTATCTCATATATGGCTGGACTGTTTTAATTATACATTATTTTAAGTTTTAAGTCATCTTTTGTTGAAAATGTAAGGCTTTTAAATGCATTTTAAATACCCTTTTTTTAAAAAAGCCTTTTAGCTAGTGTGTTATTAATGTTAATGTCTTATATTCCATTCTTTTGCTCAATTTAATTATTGTTAATATTATTATAAAGATCCAGTGTGTAGGATTTGGTGACATCTAGCAGTGTAGTTGCTTATTGCAATGCCCTTGCCTCACCCTCCTTTTACAAATGTGTAAGAGAAACTACGGCATCCACAAAAAATGTAACATGAAAACATAAAAAGCTCTATCTAGAGCTGGTATTTGGTCTGTTCTGGTGGCCTCTCTGGACAAAAGCAGAGGGGAAGCCAACCGAATCCAACTCGGTGGGAGGCATTAAGAATGAGTATATAAACTTGTAGTACATTTAAGGTGCATTTCTCTCAGGAGATGCTATAAAACAACAAAAATGATGGTTATTGTTCTACAAATATCTGCTTTCAGTGGGATATTAAATATTCAAGCACTTGACAGTAAAGAATTCAGTACAATCATTTTTTACATTTACAATTATAAATGTAAGTTTTCAGTAGACAGCAATTTTTAAAATGTTACACATGTATTGTTATATCCTTAAGAATGAAATGAAAACTTATGACACCTAGACTCACAAGCCAGTCTCTAAACACTTTGTTCAGTTGATTAAAAGTCGTTGAGATGTCCGATGTCTGGTATCACAAGAATGTGTGACACCAGATGTTTTTCACTTACTTGTATAGATAAAATACAAAACAAGCTATAAACCAAGACTTTTTCTAAGATTTTTTTTTAAACTGACAATAACAATATTATAAACAGCTTTTATCGTGTGCCCACAAGATGTTGAAAGACGTTTGAGGCTCCATAAGATAATCTTGTTATCTGTCTGGGCTAATTTGTGCTTAAAAATGTTGCTCTATAATGCTCACTGCTGATGTAGTTCAGAGGTGTTCATGCACCAGATCGACCCCCACAATATGCAAACTGAAGATTAAAAACACTCATTCCTTCCTGGATCTTGGAACGTGCCTTGAGTTAAAAGGTAACGCACACTCACACATACAGCCACCCACACCTTGGCTGCGTATTGTTTCTGTCACCTGTCCTCCATCACTGTAATCACCTGCGTGCTCTGTGAAAAGTGTGTTGAGTTGGTCTGTCAGAACCTCAAAGTGATAATCAGAGTATCGAGACTGGAAAAGGTTCACACAAGCTGTCAGGAGGCTTCACGTCAGCTCTACATATTGTACATACACACACACATACTCACACACACTGAGCATATAGGCAGAGTGCTGTCAGAAAGTGGGCCGTGCATTACTTTGCATTGTGGCTGTCACAGGATCGACTAGCTGTCATATTCAGGCTGCAGGTTTCTGTGGAAGCCGAACAAATTCACATCTGACTTTATTGAGAGACTCCAAAGCAATATTTAGTCCCATTTTGTGTGTGTGTGTGTGTGTGTGTGTGTGTGTGTGTTTTGCTGATGCTGACTGAATCAGTTTTGTTATTTTTGCAATTTGTAGAGTTGTCATAGTTTTAAAATGTGTGAAAATAAAAAAAAAAAAAATATAGAAAATAATTATATCTAACAAACAAATAAAGTTGAGTCAAGCCTATTACCAAAGGTTCATATTTAAAACAATAGATTGGGCGGCCATTTCAACCAACAAAATCAGATTTTAAAATTTGTAAGAATTTATTAAAAAAGTACAGAATAAACGTTGGAGCTAGTTTGGTTTGACACTCTTATTTATCACGTTTTATGAACATTAAAACTTAAAATTTAATTCTAGGGAAGAAAAAATCGAGTATATTGAACATAAAAGGATTGACCTCAAAGATTGTGTTATGTGATCAAATAATGTCGGAGCATTGGCTGACAAGGTTCAGGGTTAATTTTAACGCAACAATATCTTGAAGAATTGTTCTCTCTCTGCTGCCCATGCTGAGATGGCACTTCCCAGATTTTTAATACATTCTAAGATCCCACACCAAATTACCCTATCATCCCCCCAGAAAGTTGCAATGTTACAAAAGGCAAATTTGTTCAAAAACATGAAAGTGTTTAATTTTTTTGAACCAATTATAAAAACACAAATAGTATAAAAAAAAAAACCCCCTTTTTTAATTTTTCTTAGCTGTGGTGTCAAATCTAAAATGTTTCCTTACATTATTTCTTAGATGGGTTGGGCGCGACCTCACTAGTTTCCTCCATTTCACTTTAATGAATAGAAGACTAATGATTTCATTTCCTAAGGGCATGTTAAGGGTAGCGATTTTTCTTCAGTTGTGAATTCGGACACCATTTGGGTATCAAGATTGAATATTCAATTTCAAATAAAACGTGACAGCCCTAGTAGCCTTTGTTCTTGTGCATTAGGCTTTACGTAGACACTCTTTTCAAAACATACAGCACCATTTAACGGCTCACACACTGACTGTGGTCCTCCTGTCTCTTTCAGGTTGAGAATAATGTAGGTAAACCTGCATCCTTAACCTCCCACTATCCCTTAAACTGAAGAGTAATGGTGCAACCACTTTTCCAGTTTCACCTCCACCTCTAAAATTTTCACTTTGACTCCAGAATAATGTATCTGCATCTGTTTTCCTTGCTCACTCTAACCTCTCGCTCTCACATGACTCCAGAATAATGTAGATGTATTTATTTTTACACTCTCTGCCTCGACCCCAGTCACTATCAATCTGGCTTTAGAATAATGTAAGCACATCTGTTCTGCTCACCCTCCTAACCCCTCAATTTCCCCGCCACTTCAGGATAATGTAGGTGCATCTATTATCTCCGCTCACACCAGCACTGCTGTCTCCAACCCGTTTTTAGAATAATGTAGCTGCATTTACAACCCCAACCTCTCACGCTATCACTGCAGGGTCGGGAAATAAATAAAACAGCGCACATGTGAGCTGAAAGTGCATCTTCTCTGCTTTAAGCTTCAAGATCGTGCAGAGGTATTTATTATTTCAGCTCATCATTTACACTAGATCACCAGAAACTCTTAGGTTTCCATATTCTCTTCATTGGCTACTTTAACCTTCTCTCTTTTCTCCGGAGACACAAGCACAGACTAGGTGCAGGGAGGGATGAAGAGAATGAAACAAAAAGCACTCGGTAGCAGATAACAGTGTTGTTGCGACGTAACCCCCGGCTTTTATTTATCATATCTCCAAATGGCGGTGTAGCTGTTGTGCTGTGGTCAGGATACAGTGACCTTAGTTGATCAACTACCCCCCTCAGCAGCCTGATAAGAGGGCTAATATAACAGCGAGCGAGGGGGGAAGGCTGTACTGTAATTATTTTTGCGCTGTCAGAGGGGGAACAGACCGCGGCCCCCCAGCCGATTCAAATCTGAGGGGAAACTAAAAAGAGGAGGAGGAGGAGGAGGAGGAAGGAAGGGCCGCAACAACAACAACGCCAGTGAGACAAATATCAGCCGGCTGCCGCGACACGCCTGAAATTGGACCAGTTTGTCATGCACAGGGCTGCCACAGACACACACACATATCTGAGAGGCCGGACAAGACTTAATTCAAACTTTACTGGTTACACACAAACATGAAACACTCACAAGTAGATATGTGAAAAATTGGTCGGGACATGAACCATAACTTTAATACTCACTTGTAGTCTGATTTACATAAAAACATACCATGAATGAATAATTTGATTTAAATGTTTTGCACCTAAGAGTGCCAAACCCACACAGACTTATTAGAGACTGCATACATACAAAAGCAAAAGAAAAAAGAGAGCAGTGACAATTTCCTGTATTGTCAATAATAATGCAACAAAACCTCATTATCGCTGTTTTTCGTGTGTCTCCTTTAGGGGAAGTACTTACTGTCCTTCAAGCAAACGCCATAGTATTAACTTCGCTATTAGACTCACTCTTTTGCACTGGCAATCCCCACTCATTTAAACGTTAGGGCTAAGAAAGTTCTATCTGGTATTAGAAAAGCTGAGACATCATAGAAACAGACGCTTGGATAAGTTTGTTCAGATGTGCTTCCCCTTTGTAGAATTTGTTGAGAGCCTATCCTCTGTCTGATAACACTGTATTTTGGATATCCATATACAGCTATGTAATTAAGTCAACTGGAGTTAATCTTACATTGTCTGCATATCGGAATATTTACTTTTGAAAATGTATTTTTATAAAAAATCTATAAATAAAGGGTTCCATTTTTTTTCATATTTATTCATTCTGTTTTATTTTTTTAAAAGCCTCAGTAATATATAAAGGCTAACCTCTGGTCGCCCTTTATGTCTATTTATACTCGCTGGTGTGGAGCAGAACTGCCAAACTTTCCAAGTGGAATTTACCCACCCGAAGTTGTTGTCTAATCAACTATAACATCCTAGTGGGCTTAGCATGGTTAGCCAAGCTTGTGCAGTGTCGCTGATGTTGCAAAGACACAAATGAGAGACCAGGATCCTCCCATTTAGTTCACTGTATGGGGGCATTACGGTTTCCTGGTTAGTTACAGTAAAAAATAGTGGATCGGACCAAACCTGTATGCCGACACTGTTCAACTCAGGTTGGGTATGTCTGTGGAAACATGCTAAGTCTTCTACGACTGCATTATGCGAATATGTAGTGGAACAGAGTTCAGCCTGTCACAGATGTTGTTGTAATGCTACAGGAGTGTTCACCGCTGCGGATACATGACCATACTCAGCCGTAGAGTATGCAGGATTTAAGTATATGGTAAACGTGCTTGAGCCCCACTCATTGTGCCTTCATGTCTGCACTTTAGTCAGTCCGTTGAGCTTGCCCTGTATAAATGAGCGCTAGCTGTAGTTGGTCGGGAATAATCATCTGTGCCGGCAGTTGCACTCCCCACCGATGGATGGCCCTTTAGGGCTACAGAGAGCCACTTAACAATGACCACTACATCACTCCTGAGTGGGAAATGAAAAGTC